TTTTTTTTTTTAAACACTCTTAAAATCTAGTCAATTAGACCCCACTGCTCAAAAAGAGAGAGGAATGCCTAGCCTACAGCCATGTACGGGGTCTATGATTTGAGACAGTGGTCACAGCCTGCGAAGGCAGAAGCATGTTTGGGCCAATAGGGTAGCACTGATGTGCCTCAGGAATTGTCTCCGCAGAAGCACAAGTACCGGCACCAGAGCCCTTGTGGGACCTCCACACAGACACCAGTTAGGCAGCTGCTCTGGAAGTCTCACCTCTGGATTTTGGAGTTCAATCCTCACTAATAACATAAAAAGGCTCCAGCCTTGAAATGTTTGAAGCAGAGTGCACACTTGGTGTAAATAGGGGAGACCCATATTATTGACTCTCTGTGTTTACACAGTCCCTCAGAAAACACAGGACATTAGCCTGTTAAGAAAACATGTTTAATGTCTCACACAAACTGAACGGCATAATCATGTGATATTCAAGGTAGGAGAGAAGCACAAGAATATGTCATGATATTTTTTTCCTTCTCCAGATATACACACATACACCCCTCCCTCTCCCAAAATACAAGTTCTTCACTTAAAAAGGCAGATACAAAACAAAAAGGTCTACAGGACCACCACGCATCCTGTTTCAACTTGCTAAAGCAAAGAAAGATGAAACTTGGTCCCATGTTGGCTCATAAACCAACCGAAAACGTGAGGCAGAGACTCACCTATATATAGCTTTTCCTTAAAGTAAAGCTTTGCAGGAATTCTAATGGGGCTTTGAGCATCCTATCACTACTATTTTAGTAGAAAAAAACTAAAATACACTACGTAAGACAGCATAAACAAAAAGGGCTGGTAAAGAACGGTAATAAAGAGAATCCCCCCTTCCCGTTCTATCCCAGTTTCCCAGGGCACAGCTTTTCCTTCAGTCTTGTTCTCGACCCAGTAGCCTTCTGCTGGCCTCCTGTATGGCACTAACCCCCACATAGCGCCAGGTCCCTTGGAAAAGTCCTTCCACTGCCTCCGAGCCACAGCTGTACATCGGCGTCCTGCGGTCACCTCCCTGCTGTGCCTGCATGCGTGTTCCCTCGGACGGCCAGAAACGTCTCCACCTGAAAACGGTCACTGCCTTTCACGGGAGGTATAACCTCTCTGTCTGCTGCACAAATAACGTCTCCGTGATCCTGAGTGTAGCATCAAAGAAAGGCAACTGGCAGCCTTTCTCCCTCCTTTAATAGCCCAGTTTTCCGAAGGAATGTATATTAAACAAGCTGAAAGCAAAATAAGCTAAAAAACAACCAAATTCATCTGTCACAGCTCTCAAAAAGCTCATCACACTGGTTCAGAGTCTATCTCACATAAAACAGAACAATTGTACTGAATTACTGGAACCACACTTATATCAAAGGGAAGATATAACTAATCAGCTTAAATTAACAATCCCTAGTAGCATATGTTTCGCAATCCAGAAGTAATTTCACATAACGTATAGAAAAAGTCGTATGCTGAACTTTAAATTCCTTAACTACAATAATACAGTCTAAAACCAAGTGAAAATTTGTAACTTATTTTCCTTGTTTGATGGAACAACTGTTAGCTGCGTACCACTTCCACTAGTAGAATATTTACATTTATTATGGTTTACTAATGCAGCACTACCTTCAGCCATTTGTACAACTAGTTTTAACTCCCAGTTTCCACTAAACCAGTTTTCTTTCTAAACCCACAGAGATATTGTTTACTCAACTATAATACAGCTTGAAAAAGCCCCAACATAAACTTGTTCACGTCTCAAGCTTTAAATATATTAAACCAGCAGCTATATTGCACATTATCAGATACTTGTTTCCTATGTAAACCATTTCTTACTGTTTCATTTCACAATTCAGAGTCTGTATAATGACACTTAAACATCAATATAATTCCTTGACAGTCTCATCATGTCCTAACAAGTTAGTACAAGAAGTCAGAGACACTCCTCATAAACAGTGTACATAGAAAGTCATTGCTCAGAGAGGTAATTAATCCTAGAATCCTAGAATCCTAGAATAGTTTGGGTTGGAAGGGACATTTAAAGGTCATCTAGTCCAACCTCCCTGCAAGTAGGGACATCTTCAACTAGACCACGTTGCTCAGAGCCCCATCCAACCTGACCTGGAATGTTTCCAGGGATGGGGCATCTACCACCTCCCTGGGCAACCTGTGCCAGTGTTTCACCACCCTCAGTGGAAAAAATTTCTTCCTTCTATCTAGTCTAAATCTGCCCTCATATAGTTTAAAATCATTACCCTTTGTCCTATCACAAGGCACCCTGCTAAAAAGTCTGTCCCCATCTTTCCTATAGGCTCCCTTGAAGTACTGGAAGGCTGCAAGAAGGTCTCCCCGGAGCCTTCTCTTCTCCAGGCTGGACAACCCCAACTCTCTCAGCATGTCCTCATGGGAGAGGTGTTCCATCCCTCTGATCACTTTGGTGGCCCTCCTCTGGACCCTCTCCAACAGGTCCATGTCTTTCCTGTGCTGAGGGCTCCAGAGCTGGACCCAGTACTCCAGGTGGGGTCTCCCCAGAGTGGAGCAGAGGGGCAGAATCACTTCCCTTGACCTGCTGGCCGTGCTTTGGTTACAGTTGGCCTTCTGGGCTATGAGCACACATTGCCTGCACACATCCAGGTTTTCGTCCAGCAGTGCCCCCAAGTCCTTCTCGGCAGGGTGCTCTCAATCTTCATTCCCCCAGCCTGGACTGATACCGGGCGTTGCCCCAACCCAGGTGCGAGACACTGTACTTGGCCTTGTTGACCCTCAAAAGGGCCCATTCCTCGAGCTTCTCCAGCTCCCTCTGGATGGCATCCCGTCCCTCAGGCGTGTCAGCCACACCATTCAGCTTGGTGTCATCTGCAAACTTGCTGAGGGTGCACTCAATCCTATTGTCTATGTCACTGATGAAGATATTAAAGAGTACTGGTCCCAATATGCACCCCTGAGGGACACCACTCATCACCAATCTCCATCTGGACATTGAGCCACTGACCACTACCCTCTGGTTGGACCATCCAACCAATTCCTCATCAACCAAGTAGTCCACCCATCAAATCCTTCTCACTCTAATGTAGAGAGAAGGACGTTGTGGGGGATCGTGTCAAAGACCTTACAGCAGTCCAGATAGATGACATACATAGCTCTTCCCTTGTCCACTGATGTGGTCACTCCATCATAGAAATCCACCAGGTTGGTGAGGCAGGATTTGCCCTTGGTGAAGCCACGCTGTCCATCTCATATCACCTCCCTGTCCTCCATCTGCCTTAGCATCCAATTAATGTGGATTCCTAGGTGCAGTAATTTTTCCTTTCCATTTTTCCTGCTCTGCCCCCCTGCAAAGCATTTTTCTCCAGTCAAATCATAGAATCATAGAATAATAGAATCTTTGAGTTGGAAGAGATCTTTAAAGGTCATCTAGTCCAACCTCCCTGCAGTGAGCAGGGACACCTTCAACTAGACCAGGTTGCTCAGAGCCCTGTCCAACCTGACCTGACCTGGAATGTTTCCAGGGATGGGGCATCTACTACCTCTCTGGGCAACCTGTGCCAGCGTTTTACCAATCAAACTAGCTGATTCTTCATACCTGTATGTTTTGTAAAAGGGACATCTCTTCAGCGGGACCTTAATCACATGTTCCTGAAGGCCCACAAAAAGGACACTCTGGCTGTGCAGGATCTGAAGGCTCCTGATGGGCTCTCGTTGACTTTTCGGCAGGAGTTCAATTTCCTCAAGCAGGCAGCTGCTTGAAGACTGGTTCATTGGGGCAAGTACTTTCTTAATAGTGCCATAGTCTGCAAAGGCAAGAGGAAAATGAGTTACTAAAAATCATACTAGCAATTTTATCTACTTGGTGTCAATCAGTGAACAAATCTTCGTCCTACGCCAGATGCTTTCAATGAAGTCTCAGAATGTGGGAGCACTTTGACTGGAGTTTCCTAAATTGCTTATAGTACAGTGAAAAGAACTTGAAAACAGCCATTAAAGTTTTCTATGTGATGTAATACAGTAAAAAAATAATTTTATTAGTGCAGAACAGACTTCATAGCAGTAGTCACTAGAAAACAAGCTTTCAAAGGTTGGCTATTATAAATGCACATTCACAGCAAGGGTTACTGGTTTCGGTTTACCAGACTGTACTACACTGTACTATGTTTAAAGTAGTTTAAAAAGCAATAAAACCCATCATTGCCCCCATCTGTTTTAAAATTCTATGTATTAAAAACTATGGCGTTTAGATACGTATCATATTCATTTACTAAAGCACATATTTATAAATATCTGCAGGTCTTAATTGAGTCTACGTGAATAGAACAACAGAATGAGGCTGCTTCCCTTCTTCTTACTTATATGGATTTTGACCTCTGAGAAATCCTGCCTTTTAGCATTTGTTCTTCATTTCTATTCTTCTTGTGATTTCTAAGCAAAGACAGTTAACCATCACAAGCCAGTGTCAGATGGCTGATGAGATTTCTGATTCACTCATGCAAAGTTTTTAAATAATTCAAAATATCAAAGAACATTTGTTTTGAACGCAAAGGACCACATTCTCACAATGATAAATATTTTAGGTAGCCATCTGACCAAAACAGCATTATGCAATCTTCTGTGTGCCAGCAATAGTAAAGATCCAATGCTTCAAATACACACTGAGATCAGCTCTTACTCATGTGAACTCTCAAAAAGACCGTAACATCTCTTGTGAGTCGGTAACAATTCCAAGACGAATGTTTGGGATGCTCTGTTCTACAGCCCAGTAAATATGATTTTTTCCTTCACCAGCACCGGGCCAGAGGCTGGGTGGGCAGCCGGCGGTGCGGGC